ATTTATTAATGTCTTTGATCATCATAACTGAATTAAAAGACAAAAAAGGTTTTACTTTGCTGAGATTTCTTTATGTACTTAATCTTTGTTGGAATTTCTTTTAATGAGTTAGCTAAGGATCACTGAATTAGAGAAAAATGGCTAATTTAGCATAATGTATTTATTTTTCTTTCTACCTATATTACTTGTCTGTTGTCACTAATGTGAAAATTGAAAAACAAGTATATTTCTATTTTTAAATTAATGGTGTTTTTATGATGATTCTCTAAATACTAATTTGAAATGTAGAAATCCCAAGTACAGAATACATGTCAATAGATTTATGAACTTCCTAAATACTTTGTAATGTTAAAATAACTGCAGTTAGGTTTACATTTCATACTTTTGGAGCCATTTAAACTGTGTTCTTCCTATCTCCATGTTTTTGTTAAAGGTTCTATTATTTGTGTTTCTTAAAATAATAAAGTGGCAGCCCTAAACAGAATTGAAAAAAAAATTAGTATTTCAAATGAAAGTTAAGTTGTAGTTATAGGACACACGGGTAGTGCAAATTTTGTGTTCTTGTCTTAACTAATGCATAATATAGACCACAGTACATAATATAGACCATATGCATTAAAAGCAAACTTAATGCAGTATCTTGATTATATGGGCTCCTTAAGTTGCACTGCTAAATTAAAAAAAAAAAAAGTGGGATGAGACTAATGTTTATAAATTTCTTGCTTTTTTAAAAAAAAAACAATTTATTTATTTATGCTTACAGAGCTGGAGTACAGGCTATAGGTTTGGTGGGTGAGAGGACTCACTAGAGATAGTGGGGAGCAGAACAGGCAGACCAACAAAGTATACTGCTAAGGGTAGCAGCAGGTGGGTCAGAAGAGGTCTGCTGTGCCATGTAGGTCAGCTCCCCGGCTGGGATCGAACTCATGCTGCAATGGCTTCGGAGAGCCCAATAATGCAGTGCTTTAACCCATTACATCACCAGGGAGAGCTCAATTTCTTGCTTTTCAACTCAGAGCTTTCCCTTATCTTTGTGTTAGAGCATTCCAGTACAGAGGAGAGGGTGAACTCTGCCCCAGGTTTTCTGAGGAGGGGGCTTCTGGAAAAAGGGACTGCTGAGAGGTCTCCAAATTCGATGACTCAACAGATATTTTTCACTGGTTGAATCTGTGAATGTGAACCTTGGATAGAAAAATACTCATGTATAAATGAATTTTCCAGTTTAAATCAGTGTTGTTCAAGAGTCATCTGTACTGTGGCCATAACTATTCTCCAACAGAAGAATCGCCCCATCTATTCTTAGACCTTATAACATTTTGTTCAAATCTTGGAAGAAGGGAAAATTCAAAACTCAGTCTTGTAGTATTTGATCCATTGCCCCTTAAGATATTGGTTTATTAGCCCTGCACCTTTGGTGCATGCAAAAGCTGATGTCTGACCCTTTGAAATCACAAAAGCTTGGTTTTCTGTGATGGTTTTGGTAGTATGGGTTGAAATGTGTAATACTGAATATCTTCCTGTTTAATCTGTTGTCTCACCACTGTGATTCTCTGCTAGTTTCTGAATGGTATCAATCTAAGTATTGCTAGTGGCAAATGTGAAATGAGTAACCACCTCGAAATTACATTTCTTTCTTTGTTTTCTACTTTCCCTCCCTATTTGTGCCATGCACACATTCATGTTTCTGTAGCCTGATTTTCTCAATGAGTTCAATAAATTTTGATTGAGTCCTTCCTTCTTGTATACAAAACAGAGTATCATCCTCTTTTATGGCTATTTATTATTTGTAAAGAAAAATGCATTGACATTTGTCAACTTTTGTCCAGACATTTGTTCCAACTTTGCCCAATCTTTTCTCTCACCCTTACTTTATGTTTTTATCATAACAAAAGCATTTTATATGTTTGATACCATCTGGTCTTTGCTTATATGATAGTGCCTTATGCAGGATCCCGCCCTAAGGATGTTAGGATACTTAAGGACCCTGCTTAAGTATCTCTGAAGGCCAGCCCAAATGCAAGGTTGACCATAAATACACCCCTGGTCAGACTAACCAGAATTGGATTTGAAATTTCATAAAAATGTTTGCACCACTGTTAAGGAATTTACCACATACTGCTTTCATTAGAGTTATCTGCATCTGTACTTATTCCATACACTCTTTGAGACAAAGTCTACATTTCATTCATCTTGCATTCCCTACAGAACACAAATGAACTGATTTACTCATTGGTACTTTTCAAGGTTGACCATCTATATAAGAATATTATAATCAAACTCTGAAGTAACTGAGTTCTGACTCAGAAATTAGCTGTAGTTGACTTGGAAATTCTATATTTCACTCTGTTCTCTGATCACTAATTATCTTTTCTTATTCACCATTGCCATTTAAAACTAAGTATTTACAGTTTTCAGAGGAAAGGTGCTATTTAGATATCTCCTAATTAAATGAGTATTTATAGCTTTTAGAGAAGACAGGGAGCTTATTGTTACATACATAATAGGGATAGTTATAAATGGTAACAACAAGATGCTCATGAAGAATTATGAAAACATCACCTCTGAACAATAAGTAATTAAAGCAATCAAATGCATTTAAAAGCACCTGGTTTTGACTCGTTGAAGGGAATATAGTATTTGTAGCTCACAACAGTTCACAGAAAATGATATGAAGGAATATAAGACCAACTGGAAATAGATTTTTCTTTATATAGTTTTTCAAATTCTATAAAAAATGAATAAAGTAACTTAATATTAACCATTTCAGCGGATGCTTAGATTCCTAGACAGAAAGAAAGTTTAAAAGATCTTATTAAATTATGAATTTAGTGATTTGTGACTCAAACTCCAGTACACTGAGTTTGTAGCATCTCAGAACACAGGGTGATAGTAAAATTATAAGAGATATTTGTTTAAAATAGCTGCAGAGGATACAGGATAGCCAGGAAAAAAAAATCAACAAATAATTTATGAAATAACAGACTGCTATACCTTTAGAAAAATTGTAATAATGTTGCTAAAATTTTCTAGTTAGTTTTGTTTGTTTATTTAGCTATGAATAAATGAAGCTTACTCTGGTCTCTTCTTCCAATACCTAGCACATTGTCATGTGTTCATTTGTGAGTGAATGCATGACTTTCTCTGCCCCGGTGACAGACTGAATAGCTGAAATCACAACTTGCTTTATCACACATATAAACAAATATAGGACTCAAGCTCATCTGACTTCATTAAACTACAGATAAATGTATATATGCCTATCTGTCTATTAATTTTTTGTACATGGAATGAACATCAGTACCCTATAATCAGAAAAATGAAATGATTTCTATTCTAATATTATAGAAAACAGTGGGAATATAATTTAGAGGTAATTATTTATTTCACATTTACCATTAGCAGTACTTAGAATGATATCATTCGGGAAATAGCAGAGTGGCAAGACAACAAATTAAACAGGTAGGTACCCAGTCATATCCTTTCCTTGTGACTCAGACAAATGGTTATATATCTCTGTGTTCATTTACTTTAATCCTGCTAGTATCTTGTTTTCATAGGCCAAGGACAATCATATCAAAAATTGTTTAAAATATATCAGTAAAAGTTTGATTTCTTTGTTTTAGTTAGGAGTATATGAAGCTATTCTGATCTCTGTTTCCAGTATCTAGCACATTGCCAGGCATCAGGAGTTCAATCATGAGTAAATGAATGAGTGGCTTTTTTCTGCCCAGCTGACAGACTGAGTATCAGTTGTTGTTCCATAATATTCAATGTTCATAGCAACTCAGAATACAGTTTGATGGTAAAATTATGAGACAGTTTAAAACAGCTGCAGATTACACAAGGAGGCCAGAAGAAACATCAAATGATGGGATATTAGAATGCTGTAACTTTAGAAAAAGTGTAATAGTGTTCTAAAACTGTCTGGTTTGTGAAAATGCATATAATAATGATCAAATTTTACAAGAAAAAAAAAATCAGACTATATATTTGACAGCAGTGTTGCAATGAACTAAAGACATAATAAAGCCTGCCACCAACCCTAGATAATCATCATTACATCCTATTTAAAAAAACCAAGATCATTGACACTTCTATTCCACTTTGTAGAAACATCTCAAAAATTGGAAAAATTGAGGAATTGTTAAAGATCATGGCAAAAGGAATTTTGCTAAAATGGGGCATACTTTCAATAATTGGGCATTCCTCCTTTTTGGCAAAGGCACCAAAAGTTGTGCATGTTGATAGAAGATTTGTAAATTCCTATTCTATAAAACTTCACTTGAATAACAGCGTTTAGGATTCTGAACAATACATATGATGAAAATATAAATTGAATAAGTAATTGCTACTGTGTACCATAGAAAATGCACTCGAGAGGTACATTTTGAGGGGCACAATGAAAATTTTACATAGACTTGATACGCAGACTACTTTCCCAATTTTTCTTCTATTTTTACCAGAGAACATTCTAATATTCTTAGAAAAGTAAGTTCACCTCACTTCCTTTCACTAACACGCCACATTTCTACAGTGTTTCATGATCATTTGACTCTTGTTTTTAATTCAGTTAAGAAACTTGAGGAATGAAAGAAAAAGTGTATTACAGTTCAGTTTCAGAGATTTGTTATATAAAGCTTTACTGGGTGTCTGCTAAGTGAGAAAAATCCCAATTCGGATATAGTCTAGCCGAAGGAACAGATCTCCACCCAGTAGCTAACTTTGTAGGTTTCTGAAGAATGAATGAGTGCATGAATAAATGAGTGAGCAAAAATGAATCGAGAATGGCTTCTCTGAGGTACCCGATCTGAGTCCCAGAGTATCAGGGTCTAATGTTTAGTTTTACTTAATAATCCTTGGACTATCGCAGGAAGGGAGAACAAAGGGAGAACGATTAAACAAAACACTGAATCTCGTAAAATCACGGCGGCCCGACATCGCGGATATTCTGTCTGCACTAGGCTTCCGTAATTGTTTACGCGACCGCCGCCGGTAGTGACGTCACGAGACTTTGGCGATCGCGGGAAAACTTGTCTCCGCGCCGGGGTAGAAGGCGCGCGCGGGACTTTGAATCGTGGGCCCCCGGGACGCGAGCGGACATGAGCCTTTGGGTGGACAAATACCGGCCCTGCTCCTTGGGGCGGCTGGACTATCACAAGGAACAGGCGGCCCAGCTGCGCAACTTGGTGAGTGGCGGAGCCCCTGGGGAGAGGAGAAGAGAGGCTCCCGGCGCGGGCTTTCTGGCCCTCAACAGGGTTGCTTTGCTAGCCCGCTTTGCTGCTGCGGGAAGCATACAGCTGGGGGCGGGAGAAGTGGGGGGAGTGTGTGTGTCAGTGTTGTGAGAGTCTGTCCCCCTTGAGAAATGTCGTCTGAGAGTCAGATCTGAATTAGAGGAAGTGAGAAACCGCTCAAAGCAGAAAAATAGGGAACGAGCGTTACAAGTCGACGGGATCACAAGTTTACAGTCCCTGAGGCCAGCATATGCGCACCGTATTTTAAGAATTCTAGAAGGCTGGTGCAGTTGGATAATTGTGCGTCAGCGGAAGAGAGATAGGAAATGGTGGTGGGTGGGGGAGTAAAGTTTCAGGACTAGACGGGAAGCTCCTGGAGTGTTTTGTGCAGAAAGTGACATTTGATTTTATATTAATAGGCCTGCTTAAACATTTTCGGTGTTTTTGTAATGACGTACAAAAAGGCAGGTATTAAATAGATTGACTCCTGGTCTTGTCTGTTTCTAGAATATCTGGATATTGAGTTTAATTAACTCAATTTCCCCCCCTGCATCCGATGCTTATTTTTGTATTGTATTAATAAAAAGTGTCTGATGGAAAATAAGCTAGATCAGGTAGGCAATGGAGAGGGAAGACTGACCTTGAGAAAAATGTAGTATCTGAAAGCCATTTATGTACACTTCTGGGGGTCAGAAAGGACCACATACTAATGGAGCTATGTTTGCTAAGCACTCTCGTTCTTTTATAATTATCTTTTCAGAATTACAGGTACTGTTGCAGGGCAACCCCAATGTCTTTGGTTTGGGGTAGAGATGGAGTCCATAAGACGTATTTGTGGAGTTCGTTTAGGATATCCTCCCCCCACCCACCCAATAGTAATAACTAATAAATAAGGAACTCCGTTCTTATATATGAAAGTTATTAGAAAAGGTAATAGTATGAGATTGAAGCTTTTTTTTTTAGTTCTCTTCTATTGGTACTACATCTGTGATACTTTGTTTATAGAGATTTTGTTTTCTCACTACCTTTGACACTGATTTTCTTAGTTAAACATTTTCTGTGAATTTTTGGTACAGAATTTGGAACATTTTGGACAGAATTTTAATGTGCTATCTTATATCTTAACAGATTCAGTTTAAAAAAAAAACTTGCCTCTTTTTACTGTTGAGTGGACAGCTTAATAAGAACCGTAACACTTAAAGCATAGTCTTTATTTTTGCTTAGATGGATGTTTGAAAAAATTAAGTCAGTATTTGTGGAACACCTTCTGTTTTCTATGCACTAAGTTCTTTCCTCTTTTTCAGTACCAGAGATAGATGAGTTTACAGTTTTAAAATGTTATTGTAATAAACACTTTTGTCAAGGTACTTAATTTTTTTTCCTGTAATAGTTCTTTTACAAAACTTCTGTAGTACTTTATGCACCTGAGGTCACTTTCTAGTCATCTCTGTAGTCTCCTGGCACTGATTTCCAAACTTAACTGATCATGAAAATCACCTGGGTAGTTTTTTAAAAACATAGCCTTGTAATGGAGCACTGCCAGCCTCCATTCCCTTACTTGCTCTTATCTTGTAAATGCATAGAGATTGGCTTCCAGCTCCCTGAACATGCACTTCCTGGTGCTTCCTCTTGCATATTCCTGTAAATTAGCTTGAAATGCCTGAGAATTAATACCCTTTCCTTCCTCCATCCACTTTCCCAAGCTGTCATGCATTGACAAAGAATTGATGAAATTGAGTGTCATATTCCTTTCCTTCACATTAAACCAGTGCACTCAGTTCTTTTCAAAGGCTCCATTTGTATAAGCCCAAACTGGGTAAGAAAGGCATCATTTTCAGTTAATGAATCATAATCTTCTACATGGGGGTCCCATAATTAGTCTTTATTTTAAGAAGTTTTCTGGGGATTCTGAAAGTCAACCTGGTTTGGCAGTTATTTTCTAGCACATAATATATCTTACCTGTAGTATGCAAAATAATATAAATTATAAAATTAAGCAACATTTCAATGTAAATTAAGGTATATATGTATGTAGATATGTATATATGTAACACACATTTGAAATTTCATAGGCAGAAATAGAAAATATGCGATACTTGAAAAAGTAATTTTATGTAGAGTACTTGAAAAAGTAATTTGATGTAGAGTAGTTGTTTGACTAGGGAAAATGTTTTTCCTCCCCACAGGTGCAGTGTGGTGACTTTCCTCATCTGTTAGTGTATGGACCATCAGGTGCTGGGAAAAAGACAAGAATTATGTGTATTCTACGTGAACTTTATGGTGTTGGAGTGGAAAAGTTGAGAATTGAACATCAGACCATCACGGTAAACATTTCACTTGGAGGTCCTGCAGGGATTTTTAATCCTCACAGTATATGCTCCCTGCCTTTGTCATTACTGCTCAGTATGTGACATAAATAAAAATTTCACAGGTAATTCTAGTATAGGGGATTTAGACATAAATGATGTATTGACCTGTTATGATCAGACTTATGTTTTGTTAGAGAGGAAATATAAGCAAATGGAAACTTTGGGTAAATGTAGGTGGTGGGATTCCCTTCAGATTGCCTACTAAATCAGTTTCAGATGGTAGTAGAACTCAAGTTTCTAAAGTTCATTGCTCTGAGAGCTGTAAAGTATATGGAAAAAAAGGAATAATTTGCGAACAATAGTAAGTGTAGACTCATGTGACTTGGTAAAGATTGGGAAGTGACTGATGGGAAAGGACATGGGAGGCTTCAGGATGTTCACAGTTCTTGGGGGCTTGCCCCTACTCAGTCTCCCAGCCTCATGCTGTACAGCACATTTGCAGGATTTGTTCCTATAGACATTGTTTAAGATCTAGCTGAAATAGTTCCTCTAGACCCCCTTAGATTACATTTCCTTCTACAACCCATAATTTATACTCATTTACTATATTTTGATCACAGTATATACATCTTTTGCTGATAGTATTTTCAAGTTATGTAGGGAACATGCCATGTTCATTTTCATGTACTTCCTAGCCTTTGATGTAGCCTTTGATGTAGGCACTGGAAAAAATGTATACCAAATGACTAGTATTGGGTAGTGCAGTAGATTCTTTGGGAGGATGTTAGGATTTATTTTTGGACACATTGAGTTTGAGGTGCTAGTGATAAATCCTATTGGAGTTTTTTGTTATCTAATTGCCCACGATGTCAGGGTAAGTATAAAACTGCAGAAAGATTTTCACTTCTGATTTATACACTTTTTTAATCTTAAAGTATTTTAAAATTAATGCATATTTTTATAAATTATATTTTTATTGAGGTGATGTTTACAGTTATGACTTAGAGATACAGGTTCACACCTTTTCAGATGTATATTATACTACACCCACAACCAAAGCACTCATATTCCTCCATCATAGTTCATTGGCTCCCCTTCTCCTTTGTTCCCCAACTCTATAGTATCCTGGCAGCCTTAATTCTGTAGTAAGATGTCTAAGGTTTGTTTTGTTTAATATTAGTTTTTTTTTCCTGTTCCTTTGACTTGTGGTGTGTGTGTGTCACACGAATGAAATTATCCAGTACTTATTTGTCTTTTTCCTTTTGACTTACTTCCTTAGCACAGCTCCCCCCCCTCCCCCAAGTTCCACATATTGTGGAAAATGACAAGATTCCATCTTTTGGTAGCTGAGTAGTATTCCATTATATAAATAGATCACATCTTAATCCACTCATCAACATTTAGTTTGTTTACATAACACAGTTATAACTAGTGCTGAAGTGAACATAGGAGTGTATATATTCTTTCAGATTAGTGTTTTTGCACTCTTTGGATAGATAACCTAGGAGTTGCTGGCTCATTTGGTAATCTGTGTTTAATATTTTGAGGAACCTCTATACTGTTTATCATAGGGATGGACAGTCCACATTCCCATCAGCAGTGTGTGAGGGTGTCTTTTTCTTCATATCCAAACCAAAAGCTTGTATGTCAAGATTACCTTTTAATAGAAAGAGTGGAAAGTTATAGGAAAGAAATTTAGCTGGGCATAGATGAATTTTTAAAGTTTGTATGATAGAAGATAACATAAAATCAATAGAAAATAAAATATTGTCAGATATCTGAAAGGAAAACATTTAGATAGGAGATTTTGCAAAATGGTGATGGAAATACAAATAATTTTTAAAAAATAGAATACAAAATTATCACAGCAAAGAAGTATAATCTACGAATAAATGTATGTATGTTTGACCTTTATGAGAGTTAAGTTAAAACATGTGACTCTATTATATATTTACCAAATTTGTAAAAATTGAAGGCGTGTTAAAACCTACTGCAGATGGAGAGTGCTGGGGAAGAATATTCATTTTCTGTAAAAAATTAGTTAAGATGTTTTTGAACAGCAGCTTATTTTCATGTAGATATACACATCCCTTTCAATCCAGAAAATCCTTTATTCTGGCAGTCTGTCACTTTAAAATGTATGTGCAGATATGTGAAATTGTTTGAGAGAGGAAAAGATAAACAATGTGCAAAGTCTGGTTAGCTTTGGGGATGTTGTACTACAGACTGATAACATAGCTGTCACTCTTAACTAGTTGTCCAAGAGGGATTGTCTAGCTATAGTGTTAAATAGGAAAAACAAAACACAAAAATATGTGCTTGTTTTTATTTTTGTTTTTTTAAAAGAATACTTTATAGTCTTCAAATGTATCGAAATAAGTTTTGTTTATATTTGTGAGTTATCAGGGTAAGGCCGTCTTGGTATATAGGTGGATGTTGCTGCAGTGATGATCTATTGATTACTGGGATCATTTGAATATTTCTGGAGGTGAAGGAAAAATAATGAAAACCTCAAATTTGATAATAACATTTATATAAAAACATGTTTCTGCATGTTAATAGATTTAATTGGATAAAAATGTAGCTAAAGCTTATTTTTGATAAACAGATTTATATAAACTATGAGATAAGAGAAAAAAATTATCAATAAACCTGTTTTCTTTTCCACAGACTCCATCTAAAAAGAAAATTGAAATTAGCACGATTGCAAGTAATTACCACCTTGAAGTTAATCCCAGGTAAATTGATATATAGAAATAAGCATTTTTAGAATAGTGATGTTCTGACCTTTTCAGAAAGAATAGAGCACTTATTTGAAGTAAGATTATGTGTGGAAACACAGTATGTAAAATAATAGTGAGGGCCCTCCCTGATGGTGCAGCAGGTTACAGCACAGCACTAAGAAGCTAAAGCCACTTCAGCAGGAGTTCAGGCCCCACCCCGGAGGTGACCCACATGGCGCAGCAGACCTCTCCTGACCTGCCTGCTGCTCCCCTCAGCAATGTACTTTGTTAGTCTGCTATTTCTGCTCCCCACTCTGCCTCTGGTGAATCCTCTCACTGCCCTTGCACTTCTGGCTTGCACCCCAGTTTTGTATGCATAAATAAATAAGTCTTTAAAAAAAGAAATAATAGTTATACTGCTCTCTGTGAAATAGGGTGCTTAAACCTTTCATATTTCCCCTTTGAGTCCTCTGAGTCAAATAATTTTAGTAAATTTTCTGTCACACAGCTCATTCATTGTCTTTCTTACACAAAATTACTATGTTTTGGTTAAATTGCTTAGAGTTTTTCAGAACTGATGAACAAAACATGTCTAAAGTTTATGTCTATACTGAATATTTCAAAAACTGAACTTAGATTGCCAGATATTTGCCCTTTGCTCTATTTCAGTCTCTTGATTAGAAGGTATTAACAATAGCCCGACCATTGTCTTTATTACCTGTCATGCGATTATAAGACATTGAAGGTAATTTTAAAACACCGTGCACAACAATTAAGAATGTCTTAAGTAAGTTGTGAGAAATTAATTATTTTTGGAACAATGTTGGGGAAGACCTGTGTGTTCTGTGGGCCTGATGTATTCTTGAAGGAGAACAGAATCAAGGATATCTTCATGCAAGGAAACTTTTTGGGCAGTGGCACATTAATAAGAACAAATATCCTTTTTAAAATCGGGCAGAGCAGAGGAATAGTTAAAAGCTAAAGTGTATTCAGGAGCAGGTAGTGTGTGAAAGTTTTACCTAGATTATTTAATCCTCAGACAGCCCTAGCAGACAGGAATTATTATTTTCCATAGCAAGTAAGAAAAAATAAAAAACTCAAGTGAAATAAGATTTCTTGGAAAGGGTATTATAAAAGTAGACAAAAGTGCTAATTCTATAAATAGGAGGAGAATGTTTTATATGCTTGACTAGGAAATGATCTCAAAAGAAACACTCTAGGGATATCGATCTAACAATAATGAATAGAGAAAGACTTAATGGCTCTTTGGGGAAATAATTTAAAACTGATTGGTTTGCCCTTTTTTCTCATTGTGAGTCTAATCGACAAATATAGCAAGAAGAGCAAGAAATTAATCCGATTGCTTTTCATGTGCTGGAAATTGAAACTCACTGTAAACTAACCAAATAATTTTATGTTTGTGTGTGAGGTGCATGAATTATGTAAAGCAGTGATAATATGAGGATGAGTGATAGGTAATGCCTGTAGTAAGTCAACATATTTTCAAGTTCTGACTTTGTACCAACTCCATTTGCTTATCCCATCCTTTTGTTCAGACCCTGAATCAATTGTGCATTGAGCAGACTCGTCTAGGTTTGTTCTCTCTCAGACCTTGACTGTTAGGAAGACGGAGAAGAGGGAAGGAGATTAAAATTTTGTTTCAAAGAGTTATTTTTGTATTTTTAGTAATTACATATTAAGAAATTAGCTATAACTAGGTATTAACTGTAGTACATATAATGTCAAAGTATTTGATAAGCTGTTAATCATTATTACTCTTTAAGTACACTAAACTTAATGTATCATGTTTGGTATTGCTAGTGATGCTAGTCAAATTGTAATTGAGTATTGACATATTGTGAATATTGGAATTATCCCAAACTACTTTACTTTTGAAGTTTTGTGTTATTAACTATTAATTCGGATAAGTATTTAACAATTTAATATATTTTTTTCTCATTAATATATTTACACTAAGGGCAAAATAGTTTCTAAGGATTTACATGTAAGTTTACGTTTATTTTTGTTTCGTAAAGTGATGCTGGAAATAGTGACCGGGTAGTAATTCAGGAGATGTTGAAAACAGTGGCCCAGTCACAGCAACTTGAAACAAACTCTCAAAGAGACTTTAAAGGTATGTGATAAAGAAAAGTTCTTTTTATCTAACAGACATTCCAGATGTAAGCAGTGGGTATAAGAAAAAATGTAAACTCCATCCATTTAGCAAATACTTAACTAACTTCCTGTTCTGTGCCAAGAATAATGCTGCTTTGTTTTGGGATATAAAAATGAATGAGAGAGGCGTGAGCTCAGTATTCATGGAAGTTTATAGACTAATGGAATTGAATTTTGGCAGAAAGAGGACTATTTTTGTTCCACATTTGTGTTTTAGAACTAGATGAAAATGATAAAATACCATTTTATAAATAAATTAAAAGAATTAAAAATAGCTTTTAAAATCAGCTATAATCCCACTATCCAAGACAATTAATGTTTACTTTTCTTAATACTCTCCTGTATTATTTATATGCTTATGTATGAGAATGCATACTTTATTGATTCATTGATTCTTGTTTTATTGGTTATTTCTAACATGAGCATGAGTTAATTTTTTTTCCAGTGCTACTTTTGCATCCATGTATGTGGTTTTATAATGTTATATACTTACTGGTTTATTTTAATATCATAATTGATATTACTGGATCTTTTCATGAAATCTGTGCATTTCTGGAGTCAACCTCATTTTATTATGATGTGTTAATTTTCTAAATACACTGCTATTTCTGCCTGGCAGTAATTTATATTTATGTCAGTTGGTCTGTTAGGTTGGTATTATCTTTATAGATTTTGAGATCAATTTCCTTGTCTCCACTTTTCTTAATTCTGTTCAATTTGAATTGTTTCCAAAATTTCTCCTCATTTTTAAGGATTTCTTGAAGGGAGCTTCATTTTGTTATTTTTTAGTCTGCTGCTCTGTTAAGCCTTATTGCATCAAGGTTTTTTTTTCTCTCATTCATGAATTGAGCCCTGTGACTGCTGTTCTTAAACTGGTGCACGCATCTTCCATAATGGTGCAATGTATTATTATTGTTGATTTGGGGTTCTCCTATCCTGAGGGCTACCAAAAATCTAGTATTTCCCAGCCACTTCCTCTTGTACATAGTTAATTGTTCTCATATTTTAGGTTATTAGATAAAGCTTGTAACTTAGTTTTAATATAAATGTAGTTTATGGCTCTTTAGTTTTAGAATCTTAGGTAGACTGCCCATTTTTATGGAGAGATTCAAATTCTGCACTGCCACCCTATCATCTTTTAAAATTATGAAAAATATAACAATTGAATTCAGTCCCTACTTACATTTTTCCTGAACACTTCAAGCCTATTTCTTGTTTATAACAAGGCAGAATACTGGTATACAAGTGACAAAGCTATTTAGCTTTGTTTCTTGTTGGCTACATCTGTGCTTTGCAAAGTATAGTTGATTCTTGAATAACACAGATTTGAACTGGACAAGCCACTTATACTTCAACTTTCTTATAAATACAGTACAAACTTAACAGCATTAATAGGTACATTATAGAATCACATATGTATTTTTTCTTATTTTCTTTAGCTTTATTACAAGAATGCAATAAAAGATAACTTGCAGTGTATAAGATACTGTGAGTTGACGGTTTCTGTTGTCAGTAAGACTTCCAGTCCATATCAGGTTATTAGTAAAATTTTGGGCAAATACAAAATTGTATGTGCATTTTAAGGGTCAATTATCTGTACCTTAAAGTGCTAAGATTTGTTAACTTCCACAGAAATGAGCTCCTAAGATAAAATATTTTGGGATAATAATGATCAGTACATTTTGTCTTGGTGATTTTTAGTGTGTCCAAATATATTAAAGGCTGAAGTGAATTCCACATTCCAGGTAACTTTTTAAATTTTAGTTAACTTGGTTTTTCTTAGGTTTATTTGATTATAGACATTTTTTTTTTTTTAAAGATTTATTTATTTGTGTATACAGAACTGGGGTACAGGCCAGAGGCTCAGGGGCGGCGAGAGGCTTCACCAGAGACAGAGTGGGGAACAGACAGGCAGATCGACGAAGTACACTGCTGAGGGGAGCAGCGGGCAGGTCAGGAGAGGTCTGCCATGCCATGTGGTCACCTCCGGGGCAGGCGGGGATCGAACTTGTGCGGAAGCGGCTTTAGATTCTCAGTGCAGTGCTTTAACCCGCTGCGCCACCGGGGAGGGCCCTTGATTATAGACTTTTTAACAAATTATTCTTATCAAGCCTTTAACATACATGTCTTTTTCAAAGAGAAGTGTGCCATTAGATTTAGGGTTTTACTCTTAATGAAGAAGATGAGAAAGAGATAGGTACTAACATTAAAGTTTACTTTGTTTTTTCTTGTCTCAGTGGTATTATTGACAGAGGTTGACAAACTCACCAAAGATGCTCAGCATGCCTTGCGCAGAACCATGGAGAAGTATATGACCACTTGCAGACTTATCTTGTGTTGTAATTCTACATCTAAGGTGATACCACCTATTCGTAGTAGGTGCTTGGCAGTTCGTGTGCCTGCTCCCAGCATTGAAGATGTAAGTTAAGTTAGTTTTCAAAAATAAATCAGTTCAAATTTTGAGTACTGGATATATATATATCCCAGGTGTGTTTATGTCTCTAGTAATACAGTGAAGTATATCAATGATTCAATAGCTATTGCCTGAATGCTAACCATTAGTGAATTTATAATCCTATGTATATGTGGAATATACACACTCTATATATGTATAACCACAGATAAGTACATATATACACACTTACATCTGTGTTTATGTGTGTGTGTGTGTGTATGTAGTTGATACTAGTAAATAGAAAGTATTCTCTTTAAATCAACTTTTATCTTTAACAAGCAGGTAGTATGAATCTTACTAAATAAACTAGATAAAGGTTAGTTCTTTAATGTTTTTGATCTCAACCTGATTTTATTGGCTTTGGACTAGACTTGAATATGGAGGAATAGATTTTGCATATAGATGCATGTAGGAATATGTAGTGTATAGTTCAAGTTTAATCTGAAGCAACATGCTGTTTCTTTTTTTCCTTTACCTTCTGTAATAGCTATCAGTAAAAATACTTCTCAAAAAATAATAATAATAAATTTTGGGTGATTTTTATGCAAAATAGAAATAATATGTAACATTGGATTAGTTTCAAGAGATAAAGTAGGTTTCTCTTGTAAAATCTTTGGTTTAATACAGTAAATAGGGGTCTGGAAAAGCTGACAGATTGGTACCAGGTTGTACCAGTCTCATGGCCATTTCTGCTACCTTAGTGCATGCAAATAACATCCAGAGTCCATGCAGCTCTACATTGCGGCCCTTTGTGCACTGTCCTTACTGCCAGCCTGGGTCCCTGTGTCTTCTCATCCCTGTTGTCCTGGGGGAAGCTGACACATTTGGAGCCCTGTCTTCCTCCAGTTGCAGGGGCAGCTTTTTTTTTTTATTATTTACTTAATTATTACAAAAGTTTATTTTTACATCAATTTGCACATTTTTTTTTCCCCATCTCGATTGTAATCCCTGCGGGTTTCCCATCACCAAATTACCTGTGTGCCACCACCATAGTCCTGTGCATTTCCCTCCCCTCCCCCCCTTTTTGATTCCATTCCCCACTCCACCAGCAGGGGCAGCTTTTCTTTACAACTCTGCTTACTGCTAAAGGAGCATGTGTGTTAGGGTAAGGGAGTACCCAAAAAAAGAGATGAAATTGTCTCAGTATGCTGTTTGACAGATTATCCATTTTGTTAATTATTTTATTTGTAGATTTGCCATGTATTAACCACTGTGTGCAAGAAGGAAGGTCTGAATCTTCCTTCACAACTGGCTCATAGACTTGCAGAGAAGTCCTGCAGGAACCTCAGAAAAGCACTACTCATGTGTGAAGCCTGCAGAGTGCAACAGTGAGTACAAGCGGCAGTTACCATAAGCAACATGTTGAAGCATAAGCACACTTTCATTTATCATGTTCTCTTTTTGTCATGTAGATATCCTTTTACTGAAGATCAAGAAATTCCTGAAACTGATTGGGAGGTATATCTGAGGGAGACTGCCAATGCTATTGTCAGTCAGCAGACTCCACAAAGGTAATCAGAAGATGACCAAAAAAGTTTGATCACTACAATTGTAACAGATATTGGTAGCTACTTTTGTACTAACACCATGTCATCTAGAGATAATTGCCCCTCTTAGTTGGTGTGAGAAATGTGTTAAATTATTTTGCTTATAGCAGGTGTTCAAGAAATACTAGTTATTTTTACTTTATTTAAATAAAGTACCTTTTCTTATTTCTAGAGCCCCAGGAAAGGGGGACTTACACTGTTAAGAAATCTTTTATAAAAATTACTTCCTTGATTATTCTAAAATATGTAGCATCTGTGATATTTCAGTGATGATTCTGGAAAGTAATAAATACCCTTTAGAGAGTAGGTAAGTATATAGTGATGTAAAGATACTTGTTTTATGTGTACTTATATTTTAATTATCACCTTTCTTCTTGCTATTTTAAAATGCCATATATTTGTATCTTCCCCTACCCTCTTTCCTGAAAATATTATGAGAAGGACCTTTTACTATGGGGTCAAAGGTTGGCATATTTATTACATTTATTCCTTAGACAGCTTGGTTCCATGCTTCACTATAAACTCTTGCATTGTTCTGGCTATGACAGAACAGCTTTGTTTCCCTTCATGCAACTTTTACTTCACAGTTGCAGCAGTAGCATTATATTATACATTGGGCTTATTTTTTTGTTTAATTGACTAATGTTTTTTTCTTCTACTGTATTGAAGTATGTTCATACTTAATAAGAATTTATATTATAATAATTCTGTCTGGTACTTCCATTATATTTTTATATAACGTATAACCCTGAGTATGAATGTGATGTTAAAAGAGCTCTGAGTATTTTGTTTTAGAAAAATGAACTGAAATTGGGAACAGCTTCTATATGTGTATTCTAAGTATAGGAAAAATAAGAAAATGTCTTCATTGGATTATTTAATTCATAAAATAAAACAGCACAGAAGATAGGCATTTGGAAAAATTACCTTTTATCACAAAATACTTGGAAAAATTACCTTTTATCACAAAATATTACTTTGTTTTATATAGGCTTCTTGAAGTTCGTGGAAGACTCTATGAACTTCTAACTCATTGTATTCCTCCTGAAATAATAATGAAGGTAATCTGAATTCAGATCTTGATATTTATAATCATCAAATATGAATGCCGGGTGTGTGATCACAGGGCATTTGCAATACTAAGATACAATGTCACCTCTTTTTCTCCAGCTTTTTAGTGTAACAGAGGCTTTTTTGAACTTCTGCTGTGTGCCCAGTACCACTATGGCAGTGTTGAAGATAGAGATGGTCTGTCTTAGAGAAGTTATTTTAGTGTAGTGAAATGGGAAACAAGTGAAGATGCAAGATTTCATATTATTATATGTGTAGTATACACTACAATTGTAACCGATGTAAGCAACCTTTTCTAATCATATAGAAATAATCCTGTATGTGTGTGTGTTTCCCAAATTTCAGCAAAGTAACAAGTGAAATAATGTGGAGGGTAGGGCTATGGGAGGTGAATAATGGCAAGTTGAGGTGGGTTAGGTTTAAACTGAGACTTGGAGGATTGAAAGAAACCATATAAATGATTGGGGAACATTATTTCAGACAGCCAAACTCTGTGTGTGGGGAACGAGGCAGTCTGGACTGTGTACAGCACAGCTTTAGATTTGGTCTGTCAGCAACTTACCTTGTTACATTGATCAACTATTTAATGCTAGAGAACCCAGGTTTTCTTGTTTGTATTTATTTAAATTGCATGGTAATACTAACATGAAAAACCTCAAATGTACAAAATGTATGAAGAGAAAAGTATATACCATAATGGTAACCACTTTTAAACATGTTCTAGTCATATAGAAATAATCCTGTGTGTGTCAGTGTCCTGCACTGTTTTCATTCATTGTAATGTGGATGTTGTTTCATTACTGTACAGATCTATCCCATTCTATTTCTGGGGTTCCATTGTGTGACCACATCATAGTTCTTTGAATTTGACCCTTATTGGTACTTTAAGTTTTCTGCAGGTTATTATAATAATAATGCTATAGTAATAACTTTGTACATTTAAATATTTGCAGTGGACGATGATAGCCAGCTACCACAGTTTTACATTTGAGGAAAGGTATATGATTCTTAATTTAGGATAAAGACTACTATCCATATAAAAGAATTAAAGATTTCACAAATAAAAAAAGAGGATGTTTATTTTTACTTTGTTTTGAATGAGATGCATAGTTTGTTCAGTTAGTATTTTTAAAAATAGCTACTTTTTTTATTACTATTTATCTTTCTTCAGGGCCTTCTCACAGAACTTTTACATAATTGTGATGGACAACTGAAAGGAGAAGTGGCCCAGATGGCAGCCTACTATGAACATCGTCTGCAGCTTGGTAGCAAAGCCATTTACCACTTGGAAGCATTTGTGGCCAAATTTATGGCACTTTATAAGAAGTTCATGGAGGATGGATTGGAAGGCATGATGTTCTGACATGTGTCAGTATTTCTTCATAATATTTTTCAGTATCAGCATTTACAGTCAGTTTATACTGGAAGAGCTGCAGGTAAAATAAACACACTATTTAATCATGTCTTATTCGTGTTTTTTGTGATAACTCTTTTGTGAATTATTACTAGTCTTTACCCTCTAAGTTAAATACTTGCCCTTACACTACTGAAGTATTAGGAAATTACAACTAGAAACTTCAGAGTCCAGGAACATGATTGTAACTTACTTTAAGGTTCTTTTGTATTGATCTTCCCATTTTCCATCCAGTGTTTCACCTGCTAGAGAAAATTTATATGTAAAAAGAGCAACATATTTTCCCTATCCTCCAGATGATTTGTTTCTGGCTACAGGTATACATACCTTTGCTTGGCAAGTCATTATCTTTAATCATGTTTTCCCTCAATTAAGAATTATATGTTTGCAGGAAATTTTTTTAAAGATGTATTTATTTGTGCATACAGAACTGGGGTATAGGCCAGAGGCTCAGGGGCAGCGAGAGGCTTCACCAGAGACAGTGGGGAGCAGAACAGGCAGATAATGAAGTACACTGCTGAGGGGAGCAGCGGGCGGGTGAGGAGAGGTCTGCCACACCATGTGGTCACCTCCCGGGCAGGCGGGAATCGAACTCATGCGGAAGTGGTTTCAGCTTCTTAGTACAGTGCTTTAATCCGCTGCACCACCAGGGAGGGCCTTTTGCAGGAAATTTAAGAATTTACTTTGACAAGAGGAAAATTGCAGATACCCTTAGCTTTGAGAGTAGAGACTCAACTTTGTTTCAGTGGTCTAGATTTGGTATTAATTCTCTACTGACAAAACAGGCATGTTTTCATTAAATGTTTGAAACATCTAAAGAAATGTACACAGTGTAATTATGAAGCCAAGGTGTATTTTTGTAGAAATTTCTCTTCTAACAAGTGTACTATTGTGTTCTGTTCTTTGGAGCAATTCTTGTAGAAATTTGATTCATAGAAGAGAATTTGCTCAACAAATTTGTGTGATGGACTCAACAACTTTTAATTTTGGGTAGTGGAAGCAGGATTCAAAATAAAAGTTAAACCATGTACTCTGTGTGTGTTTGTACACACAATGGACTGTTCGTTATTGAAAATTATACTTAGGTTGTTTGTGATGTAGTTGGAACTGAAGGGGATTATGCTAAATGTAATAAGTCAGGAGAAAGACAAATAACTGGTGGTGTCACTTGCATGTGGAATAAAAAGAAACAGTGTCTGATAAAGTCAGACTAGTGAGAAACCCCAGAAATATGGCTACCAAGTGGTCAGAGGAGAGAAAAACAAAGAGGAGAGGGTATATGTGGACTGTGGTGGTAGAGGGATTATGGGCACTTCATAGCGGGTATGAAGGGAGAGCCGATACCTCTAGAGCACATACAATATGGTAAACCAGTGTTACCTCAAAAACAAAGTTAAGCCAACAAAAGGTTTTAAATTTAACTAAAATAATCAGGAAATGTGTAATTGACCCAAATTTACACACAAACTCCTAAAACAGCTTAGACTGACATTGTTCAGGTCTAGAGAAATAGTTTGCTTTTATTGTGGGTATTAAGTCCCATCTGACAGTCTCAGTCTGAGGGTTATATGGTGGGAGGTAGATTGACATTTTTACTGAAAGAACTAGAGAGGTGAAGTTTGGGAAAAGTAAGACTAATTTGCATATTGAAAATTGGGGAGAAATTTGGTAATAATCTCTGATATTTAAAAATGATGAACTTGAAAATGAGTGAGCTATGATTGCATTTCTGTGGAGTAGTACTTGGCAATGGAATCCCTAGACTAGTACCAGCTTTATCTGGGAACTCAAAAATGCAAACCTTTAGGTTTCATCAAAAATTACGGGAATGGGACTAAGGAGTTTTGTATCTCTGTTCCACATGATTATGCACACCAAAGAGAGAGCTATTGCTCTAGAGAATGTAGACTCAGTATCAATGCATAAAAAATTAAAGACATAGGGCCTTCTCTGGTGGTGCAGCGGGTTAAAGCACAGTACTAAGAAACTAAAACTCAGTATGAGTTCTATCTCTGGCCTGGGAGGTGATCCACATGGCGCGGCAGACCCCTTTTGACCTGTTCCCCTCAGCATTGTACTTCATTAGTAGGCCATGTGCTGTTCCCCACTTTGATGAATCCTCTCACCTCCCCCTGCACCTCTGGCCTGTACCTCAGCTCTGTATGCATAAATAAATATAAATACATCTTTAAAACACACACACAAAAATTAGAGCAACATTTATTTCCACATGAAGAACTTTCTAACAATTATATTTTCTGAACAGCATAGAAAATAGAGCTCCTTATAAATATTAAGTATTATGGATAGTTGATGAAGAATGAAATGCTTATCTAGGCATTCCACTGGGTCTTTTTTGCTTATAACTATAAAACTAGGAGTTACTGTAACTATACAGTAAAACAAATCAGCTATATAATTTATACAATAAAACATACAATTTAAGTCTTACTTTTTTTTTTTTTAAGATTTATTTATTTATGCATACAGAACTGGGGTACAGGCCAGAGGTTCAGGGTGGTTAGAGGCTTCACCAGAGACGGTGGGGAGCAGAACAGGCAGATAGATGAAGTACACTGCTGAGGAGAGCAGTGGAGAGGTCTGCTGTCCCATGTGGATCACCTCTGGGGCAGGAATCGAACTCATGCTGCAGTGGCTTTAGCTTCTTAGTGCTGTGCTTTAACCTAATGTGCCACCAGGGAGGGCCTTTCAGTCTTAATTTTTAACAAATATATTCAGTGTAACCACCATCATATTCAAAATAGAAGATTCTATCTCCCTAAAAAGTTCCTTCACGTCCCGTTGTGGACAGTGTGGCCCTTCTCTGGTCTAAGTGACTGCTGATCTGCGGCATCATAAATTTGTTTTGCCTGTTTAAGGGTAATCAAATACTGTATGATTGTTCTTGTTGGACTTGTGATTCATCTGTTTGATAAAGTGCTGGGTTCAGAAAGAGGGATACTTCAGTTACTCCTGAAAAAAGTTTTACTAGGTTTCCCCTTTCAGTGATACAGGGAGAGTTTGCCTAGGGGACAAAGACTTTTGCACAAGCACAGGCAGACAAAAGTTACATTTTAAAAGGGCATGTTTATTAGGAAAGTGAGAAGAAAAAAAAAAAGAGGCACCTGCAGTAGTCACAGGTGGCAGAAGAGCTGTATCTTGCCATTGCAGAAGTTGTGTTGATAGTGTTCTTTTTGGGAAATGTTCGCTATTGTTTAATTACTTCAATGGGGTAACCAGGTTGATTTGTAGAAACTGGTGATGCTCTGCAATGACCCTCAATCTCCATATTCCCACCTCCAGTTTTTGGTCTTGTGACATCGCCATCCTAAATTTTTTACTCTTAGCCACCATTATAACTGCATGTTTCATTTGTGTCTTTAGCTTTTATCTGTCTTCATTGTGGGGCTGTAATGTTGGGGTGAGGCTGGAGGCATGGGGATGAAAGAGTTTACCAGAGACAGTTGAGAACAGAAAAGGCAGTTTAAAGTACCCTGTGAGAGTGCAAGAGGCAAGACAGATGTCTGTAGGAAAAAGGATTTGAGATGCTCCTTTATATTGTCTATAAGTTGGAGTACTATAGTGTACAGTTTCCTGCTGGGTTGTCTGGTCTCTGGTGGCACTTGCTATTGATACAATGTGTCCTGGCCAGCTTCTGCATTCCTGGAGCTAGGTTATTTTTTCTGGTGATGATGGTCTGTCTTATGGCATGATTCCAGTGGAAACCTTACAGATTCTCTTAATTTCTCAAATCTCCCAAATCTACCTGCTGACAAGGAGTGTGGACTTAGTTTTCCACCTTATTAAGTTCTACCCAGTCAGTCATGACTGTATACACTTTATATAACCTACTCTTTGATGGACCATTGAGTTTCTAGATTTTGGTTATTAGCATTTCTGTGAATTAAAAAAAATCTTTTTGTAGACATGGTTTTTCATTTCTCTTGAGTAAATATAAAGGGGTGTAATGACTAGACATAAGTTTCAATTTTAAGTAGTTGCTAAACAAATTTCCCAAAATGAGCCTATCTTTTTACATTCCCACTAGTGTTAACAGGATACTTCCCAAGGAAAAGTGAGTTTCCAGGTTCTCTGTTCCACCCAAGGGATACATACTGAATTTTTGGGGTTGGGAAGGGAAGAATATGAAGGCTATCTTGAGCTGCTTTGATACAGATACCCTCTGCTTCAATTTTATGCTTTCATATGTAAGTTAAAGTCTTTAAAATTTGAAGTGAAATATATATCACAACAAAATTTGTACATGTTTTTCCTTCTCATTTTTTTACCTAAGTGCTATTTTATACTCTATGAGAATTGTAGGAATTTAAATGTTATTTCCAAATTATAGCACTTCAAATCATGAAACACATTCCTTAAAAAATGAGAAATCAACACTTGGCAGCAGTTTTTCTTATACCTAGTTCTCAAGAAAAAAGATAATTGTTTCATATTTTTCAGGTTGATGAACTAAATTTCACTAGTTATTCTCCCCTAGTTCCTTTCCTGTTTATTATGCAGAAATTTGGAACATTACCATGAGATGTTCTTTATCAGTTTGATTGTCTACAAGTCTACAAGACTTACAATAAATTACCTTCCCCTCCAGAACTTTGCAAAAATAGTGGTCCCTGTAAACCTTGGCTCATGTCTAAATTACAGCCTATTGCTGGTTAAAAATGCTATATGGTTCCTTTGTGGCTTGGTACCATCTGTGCCTGTTGCAACTCTTGATTAGCTGATTGCCCACTAAAGTTGCTGTTTCTTTAATAGAGAAGCATAAGAAACTTCAGCAACTTACTGAAAAGCAGCTGTGTAAAATAGTCACTAGTGGCATTGTAAGTCTCATAGACCACAATCAAACTGATGAAGAATATCTCATGGTAATGTTCCAAATTTCTGAATTCTAAGGGAAAAAATCCCATACCGCTTTCCAGAATAACATTAAGTACCTTTATGTGCGACAATATCCTAGATTCCTTATAGACATTTTTCATTTGACTCTAACCATCTGTAAGTGTTATTGTCTGTTTTGCAGATGAGGAAACCGGATCCAGGTACCTGGACCATTTTCACTCTAGTAAATTCACATCTACCAAAGAAGAAATGGGCTCTCAGTACTACACAACTAATCCTATTTCTCTGACCAACTCTCTGTAATGCCTCTTGTAAAACTTTAGAGCAGATAACTGTACCTTGTTAGTTATCAAAACCAAACTTGTATATATTCTCACATTGCTTTAGCTTCATTAGTATGCATC